ATGACAAAATATTACAATACACTAAAAACACATCCTAACAAAATTTCCACAACAATATACAATATACACGTCCAGTACACTCCAGCAATAGATTTACAGCCAGCCCGGTCACAGTTTCACTCCGATCCCTGTTGCCTCACGTGGTGCCTCTCGTAGTCGGCACTGGGCAGGATCGCTGCATCTCGGTGCTCAGCTTGTGGGAGGCGCTCGCAATTCTGCCCTGCTAACATGCATAGGTTAAATCATGATCCATAGTACATAACATGTAGTTTGTACTATGGATCATTTAACCCATTCATGTTAGCAGGGGATCATTGTAAATCTAATGCTGCAATGTACGGGACATTTGTGCTGTATATGTACAGTACATATAGAATGCACTGCAGCAATAGATATACAATTCTGCACTGCTAACATGAATGGGTTAAATGATCCGTAGTACAGGGCTACATATCATGTACTATGGATCATTTAACCCATTCATATTAGCAGAGGATAATTGCAAATCTATTGTTGCAGTGCATTCTATATGTAGGATATAGTACATGTACATATAGAGTGCACTGCAAAAATAAATTTACAATTATCCTCTGCTAACATGAATTGATTAAATGATCCCTAGTACAGGGCTACATATAGATCATTTTAATCCATTAGTGGAGAGTAAGGTTTTTGCCTGGCTAGTAGGTCTAGACTTGAAATGTTAAGCCTTGATATAGGGTATATACTGCTAATACATCTAATACAGTGCAGAGAATACATTTACAATTAAACCCTGCAGCATAATTGTGTGTGTGTGTCCTTGCCCTCACTCACTGTGCTGGAGAGAGCAGCGACGAGTCAGCGCTGGTCCAGTGGGAGGAGCTCCAGGTGGGGTCCTAATTTAGCTGGCTCAGAGGTGCCGGCCAGCTAAATTAGAATCCCACCTGTAGCTCCTCTCGCCGGACCAGCGCTGACTCGCCGCTGCTGGGTTTTTCTTCTTACTTGCCGAGCGTCGCGGCGCTCCAAGCGGGGTCATCTGGCAGTCTCCGGCCACCTAAATTAGGACCCCACCTGGAACTCCGCCCACCGGAACAGCAGTGACGCGACGCTAGGCGAGGTAAGTAAGAAAAAAAAAAAACATAGCGCAAGCTTCGGCGCTAGGCATCGGGGCATTTTGACGAGTACAAGTACTTGGCAAAATGCCCTGTATCGGGCCCGATACCGATGCTAGCATCGGTATCGGGACATCCCTAGTTGCAAGGTGATTAAAAGTTTGTACGACCTGCTCATCTTGGACAGGCAGATCGTACTTGCTGAGGGGAGGGCGTACAGATGATTGCAATGGTGAGCGGGCAGTGTGAGTTTGTGCACCTCGGCCCATACGGCTTTCGTCTTGCGATCGCGCTACCAACCCGCCGAAAATCGTACGATTTTCGGCAGGTTTTCTAGCATTCTCGTAATACAAAAGTTGTGTGACCGTACAGTAAATGCGGTCGCACGCTGCCCATACACCTTACGATCATCGTATGATCGTGGGATCACCGCCAATTATTGCACGATAATCGTCAGGTATGTATGGGCAGCTTAAGGATTTGAGTTACTTTGACAAGGGCCAAATTATGAGGGCTAGACTGGGTCAGAGCAACTCCCAAACTGCAGCTCTTGGTCAGTGACCCACCAAAAGTGGCCCAAGGAAGGAAAACCGGTGAACTGTCAAAAGGGTCATAAGCAGCCAAGCCTCACTAATGCATACGGGGATTGAGGGCTGGCCCATGTACTACGATCCAACAGCAGAGCTACTGTAGCTCAAATTGCTAAAAAAGGTAATGCTGATTCCAAGAGAAAGGTGTCTGAACACACCGCGCATTGCATTTTGCTGCGTATGCGGCTGCATAAATGCAGAATGGTCAGGGTTCCCATGCTGACCACCAAAAGCGACTACAATTGACACGTGCGCATCAGAACTGAAACATGGAGCAATGAAAAAAGGTGGCCTGGTCTGATGAAATACATTTTCTTTTACATCATGTGGATGGCCAGGTACATGCGTGTCACTTACCTGAGGAAGAGATAGCCCAAGGATGTACTATGGAAAGAAGGTAAGCTAGTGGAGGCAGTGTGATGCTTTGGCCAATGTTCTGCTGTGAAACCTTGTTTCCTGTTATTTATGCGGATGTTACTTTGACACATACCACCTGTCTAAACATTGTTGCTGACCAAGTACACCCCTGTGGAAAGATCTCAAAACAGCAGTTGGGAAAAGGAACCCTTCCAATCTGAGATGGAGCAGTAGAAGAGTGGTCCAAAATTCCCGTAGGGAGGTGTAAGAAACTCATTGATGGTAAAAGAAAGACATTGATTTCAGTTGTTTTCTCCAAGGGATGTGCTACCAAATATTAATTGAGGGTGCCAATAATTTTGTCCAGTTAATCTTTGGAGTTTTGCGTGGAATGTGTCAGATTTGGCTTTTTTTTTTCCCACTTTTGTGTCATACCAATACAAACAAAAGAAATAAACATGAGAACGCCTAAACATTTGTCATTGCAACAATTTTCTGCGCAAAGTGGTGCATTATCTGACTGAAATGCAGCGGTGCCAATATTCTAGGACATGACTGTATGATTTTAAAGCATGAAATAATTTTGTAGTCTGCAAGATTATATTTATGTTGGGTAAGGACTGAACAGCAGAATTTTTTTTTTTTTTTAAATAACATAATTTTAGTCATGAAGGAGGGCTTTACACACAATGGAACATTTTATAAAAAAAATTAAAAAAGTTTAGTATAGTGTCATCTGTCACCCTAGTCATGCTCACTGGTAAGTGTCCTCTATAAGTGCTGCTTTTTATGTTCTTTCAGCTTTGAGTTTTGTTTTATGTTTATGTTAAGACCAGTTTGAAGGCTGTTTATCAAACAAAATATGAAAAATGAGTACGTACTGCCCATGGGGGGAGCATAGCCTATTGACTGTGTTGATATCTTTCAGTTTTCTTCAAAGGCTCTTATCTATACGAGAACATAAGGTGGTTTTTGTTTTTTACATTTTCCACCCAGCTAAATGCATTCATATTTAACCTGTTATACGCCTGTATATACCAGGGGCGTAACTAGAAATCGCAGTCCCCTCCAAATTGCCCCGTGCCCCCCCAAAAAAGGACCTCCAGAACATGTTCCCGCTCACTTCTGTAGAGCACTCCTGAGACCCCACACAGCCCACTTGAGATCCTGCAGAGCCCACCGGAGACCCCGCACAGCCCACCCGAGAGTGACCCTGCAGAGCCCACTATAGACTCTCTATGGTGGGCTCTGCAGGGTCTCGGGTGGGCTGGTCAAACCCCTGCACACCTTGTCAGCCTCCTCCTCCACCGCTGGCCTCATCCTCCTCCACAGTTGCCGCTGGGCCTGGCCTCCTCCACCGTCGCCGGGCCCCACTTCCTCCTCCACAGCTGCCGCCAGGCCCCCGCCTCCTCCACCGCAGCTGCTGGCCGTCACTGACTAAGCAGCGGGTGTGAGGAGGTACGCGCGGCTGCTCAGATCACTGACAGGTTGTCAGTGATCTGGACAGTGGCGCGTTCCTCCTCACAGCTGCCAGTGACAGTCCTGCAGCCTGCGATGCTATAGTGACCCAGGTTGGCCTGCACAGCATCAGGGGGACCCCTTTGGTCCTGGCCAAGCCCCAGAGTGTCCCGGACTCCACAGCGGCCGCCTGGGTCGCTATGGCGATAGTTTCGCCACTGGTCTATACACAGGCCTAACTATTCACTCCGTTTGTGGCTGCTTTCGAAAAGAACTAAGATATTGAAGCCATTTTAATTTGCTACACGAGATGATTTAACCCCTTCATGACTGAGGCCTTTTTTTCATTTTTTGTACCCATGTTATATTCCAAATTTTAGGCCTGAAAAACGAAAAACTAAACTAAAAAGTAATTTGGACTTTACGTTTACTTTTTTGCCACTTTGCATTCACTTAGTGGGTTATAAGGTAGTCAAAGAACAGTAACAATGATTTCAAATGAGGTTTCTGGAGCTTTATGATCAAAACATAAATTATCATTGGTCTTAATAAAGCTGAAATCCAGGCAAACTGCCTACAGGTATTTCATCTCGGTATTTAGCAATCTACTGCCAAAGGGTTTGCACTTCTGTCCATCCAGTCCTGAAATGTACACATATCTGCCACATGGCACAGCCATGTCTGGCAGGACGGAAGACCTGATTTTTGTCTGCTGCAGTTAGGTAACACTTACAAGTATTGCCCCCCCCCCCCCCCCCCCCCCCCCGCCCCCCACCGAGGAAT